AATAGAGGGGTAGCATTACTTCCCTGGATCTAGACACTAGACTCCTATTGATGCAGGCCAAAATCCCATTGGTTTTTTTAGCTGCCACATGACATCGTTGGCTCAATAAATTCCATATATTGTGGGATCATTATCAAGATTCAAGATGCTGCTGTGTTAAGGATACTTCAAACCATTGGTTTAAATATGCTCAAAGAGTTCTTACCTTGTTGCCGAATCCTAACCAATGCACTTTTTGTTAAATTGGCTATTTTGCTACATTACATTCCCAAGCTAAACTTATATTGTCAACCTTTTCCCCATAGAAATGAAACTATGACTTTATTACCTTACATTTGTGTCTATATGAATCTTTAAAAATATCAGGCAAACTGGCAACTTTATATCTTGTAAGTTCTTGCCACCTCCCCGGGTTTTTATGGCTTTCTAATGGACTGTTGCCAATTAATATGTGATATGGAAACACTGACAATCTATTTAAGGAAGCTTTACCTGCGTGTGCTGGGTTTTTACGCATTCCTTAGCCAGCCAATTACTATCTTACTTATTCCTCTTGTTAAAAAGGTTTGGATATTTTAGAATTTTTGGTGGGGTTTTTTTTTATTCACTTGCAGGGCAAGTAGTTTTAATGAAGTTAGAAAATGTACCTACAATCTTGTTAGAAAGGGCCCTTTGCCATCTCACATATCTCTTTCGTTAGGAGAAAAAGGGGGCAGTTCTCCCATTTCAAGTTTAATTTTTTAGGCCAGATGAAAATTTATCCACAGCAGAATGGGAGATCACAGTCCAGGGGAAATTAGAAACGTCTGCGGAGGGAGGATGACTGAGCCGGAATGAAGATGAAAAGCCAAAGCCAAAGCAAAGAATCGATTTAATATCCATAAATTATGGAACCAATGACACCCCTCCTGCATCTAGGGAAGAACTGAGGAAAAGATCTTCTTTGGGGACAGTCATCCTAAAAATATGCACAGCAAGAATGGCACATGCTATGCATTCGGTGCAAGGGCAGTGAAGCTATTTCCAGCTACTCGGTTCCCTCATTTCCAATAATTAGACATTGTTAGCATTATGGTGTTTGCCATTAGACTATGCAAATATGGAATTTGGAATTCAGATCCTTGAGGAAACCAGTCTTCCATTTTCTTTTGAAAATTAAGTTTCTAGCCCGCATGTCTATGATGATAGATGAAAAAATTGGGGGCAGCTAAATCACACCTCAGCTCATTGGTTTCAATACATTAAGCTGTGAACACAAATGATCAGGAAGTTTTTCTTTTTATTTTGTATCAAAAGCATTGCATAAATTAGTATAAAACTGATAAAAACAGAAGGAGCACAAGCGCCTAAATATCTTTTGACCAGAAACAGGCAACAGCAATTGCATTGTCTGTAGCCTCAAAAAACTCTTGGTTAGACCACACCCAGGGGCGGTGTGCCACCCCCGGTGGCGCAGTGGGTTAAAGCACTGAGCTGCTGAGCTTGTTGATTGAAAGGTCGCAGGTTGGATTCCGGGGAGCGGCGTGAACTTCCGCTGTCAGCCCTAGCTTCTGCCAACATAGCAGTTCGAAAACATGCAAATGTGAGTAGATCAATAGGTACCGCTCCGGCGGGAAGGTAACGGCGCTCCATACAGTCATGCCAGCCACATGACCTTGGAGGTGTCTACGGACAACGCTGGCTCTTCGGCTTAGAAATTGAGTTGAGCACCACACCCCAGAGTCAGACATGAGTGGACTTAATGTCAGGGGACTACCTTTACCTTTAGGGGCGGCTCAACCCATTACGCAAAGTAAGCATTTGCAGTATAGTTGATTTTGCCCAGGGGCACTCTTGAGGTGCTCTTGGGGGAAAATAGATCTTGACATATGCGAGTTGTAGTTACTGGGAGTTGAAGTCCAAAACACCTGGAGGGCCGAAGTTTTCCCATACCTGCTGTACTTTATAAGATGATCCTTCAAACACAGGAGGGTCATCTGGCAAAGCTTCAAACAGAGTACCGTTCCCTTTAAAGTAGGACATTCTGATCAATATTCTACCTTATTGGATGAGATTCAACACCTGCATTGGCTGAATTCTACTGGCCTGTCTCTCTTCTCCCAGGGTCAGTTTTCCTTTGGCAATTCAGATGTTGTCTTTTTGAATCTCTTGTTAGTTTTGCTGTAGAGCTGTAGCTCGATATTGCTTGAATATCTCCTGAACACACTCAGCCATAAACGGTTGTGGGACGCATGTCAGTGCTATGAAGCTGCCTTGCACAAGGAAGGAGACATTGTGCAAGGAGATGCTGATTATATCTCCCTGTGCAACAAAAAAGTGCCACACACGTATATCATGCTAGGATGCCATACACTTACAAGGGTTGAATGAAAAGTAATGCCTCCACCTGCGTAACTCCTCAACAGATGGCAGTACTGGTATGCGGCAGGTACTGGCTTGTTCAGTAGACTCCTCTACAGTTCCATTTTGGCAGGAAGCCTTAGCTTTGAATGGTTGTGCAAAGTAAGGAACCCTGCACAGACGGTCAGTCAATGCGACTTAAGCAATGTGCAGTCATTGAATTCTTGACAGCAGAAGGTGTCACCCCAAAGGAGATTCATCAGAGAATGCAAGCTGTTTATGGTGATTGTGTTGATGTGAGTACCGTGTGTTGTTGAGAGAGTAAGTTTAAAGATGGGAAGTTGAGGTGGGAACATCTGACTTACATGACAAACGAAGAGTTGGGCATCCTGTGACAACAACCACCACAAGCAAAAGTTTGACAGATTGATTCAGGAAAATCATTGTATAACTCAGAGAGAAATTTCAAGCATAATCGGCATTTCACAAGAACGTGTGGGTCACATTATTGCTTTGCTTGGCTATCGGAAGATCTGTGCATGGTGGGTACATTGAGGGAAATGTGAGATGCTGGTTGCGGAAGCAGAGTGTCGACTTCTTCCATGACGGCTTCAGGAAACTTGTTCATCATACCCAAATGTATCCAACTGTCTGGTGATTATGTGGAAAAGTGAATAGTTGTAGTTAAAGAGCACATTCTAAGGATTATTTCCGCGTTTGATTTATTAAAATATTCCCATCCAAACCCAAGTAACGAAGGTAGAGGCATTACTTTTGATTCAATTCTCATGTATGCTAAGATATAATATCAACATGAATCTGACCTCTTCTATTTGAACAACATGACCTTTGAGAAAAATTATTAGTAGGTTGCTACACTTGACTTCTGATTGGATAGGTGGGGTAGCCTGGGGAATGTGTAGTTTACACATCAGATGGTTCAAACTGAAATGCTGCAAGTTTATGGCATCTAGCTTTTCGTTCTAAATATGGATTGGAAATCTGTGACCCCCCAAATATTTTGCACGTCACCTCTCTGAAGCCCCAGTGACTAGCCAATGGCAAGGAGCTATGCATTTGGATATCCAAGTCATCTGGATAGGCAAACATTTCCTGAAATAGTCCCACTTTTCTATATTCATTTCATATAGAATGCAATTTCCCTTTTAAGGAGGGAAACCGGGAGCCAAAATCCAGTTATTTTGAATCTGGTAAGAATGAGGATACTATAGAAAAAGGGTTTATGCTTCTGGTTGTTCTTACTTTGGCTCCATCTAGTGACATATCCAAGAGGAAATACACAACTTTAGTAAACAGATGCTGGATGGCTATCTGTCAGGGATACTTTGTGCCTTTCCTGCATGGCGTGGGGTTGGACTAGATGGCTCATGTGGTCTCTTCCAACTCTATTATTCTATGATTCTATGACTGTAACACTAGAATTTATGCATATATGGCCATACAGCAAAATATAACAAAATCTTAAACCCACAAAAGAGAGATAAAAGACAGTATAATTTGTAAATTTGAGATTTTACTCTACAAATTCCTCTGCCTTTTTCAAGGTAATTCATTCTTTATATTACACTGCCATCACTTTCAAAATTACACTTTTCATAATTTTCCCTTGACCTTGCAACCTTCTACATTAATTTGAGGATTCGGAACTTGGAATTAATGCACATTAATGGAGATAAAATATCCAAAGCAAAGCTCAAGAAGATCATCTTAATCCTATAATGGATAGCAGCCAGGCGGATAAATATTGTAACCCTTTTAAAGGTAAAGAAATAGTGGTCTTTCAGGTCCTCCTGGGTTACAGTTCCCATCCGCCCTAGCCTGTGTGGTCAGTGGCTGGGGTCGATGGAAACTGGTAAGTATCCAGAGATCCACATGTTCCCCATCTAGGTATTTATTTTATTTGTCGTGTCAGAGCAACCAGTCCATTATATTACATTTCTAACAGAACAAACAAGCAGACAAATACAAAACTTGTGAGTTTGGTAGTTGGTTAAATGTCCTTTGACCAGTATCTGGCCACTTGGAATGTTTCCGGTGTTGCTGCAAGAAGGTCCTCCATTGTGCATGTGGCAGGGCTCAGGTTGCATTGCAGCAGGTGGTCAGTGGTTTGCTCTTCTCCACACTCGCATGTCGAGGATTCCACTTTGTGGCCCCATTTCTCGAGGTTGGCTCTGCATCTTGTGGTGCCAGAGTGCAGTCTGTTCAGCGCCTTCCAAGTTACCCAGTCTTCTGTGTGCCCAGGAGGGAGTCTCTCATTTGGTATCAGCCATTGGTTGAGGTGCTGGGTTTGAGCCTGCCACTTTTGGACTCTCGCTTGCTGAGGTGTTCCAGCAAGTGTCTCTGTAGATCTTAGAAAACTATTTCTTGATTTAAGTCGTTGACGTGCTGGCTGATACCCAAACAGGGGATGAGCTGGAGATGTCTCTGCCTTGGTCCTTTCACTATTGG